GATAGATAGATAGATAGATAGATAGATAGATAGATAGATAGATAGATAGATAGATAGATAGATGTAGAGATAGATAGAAACAGAGATAGGGATAGAGATAGGGATAGAGATGAATAGATATATCTCCCATGCCTTTCATATTACTATATAGATACAGTATAGATCTGCTTTTATTACTGTATTCCCTCCATCTTATACTTGGTCTACAATCATAATAAAAATCAGGATTTCCAGGCATTTTTCAGGAAAAATAAATTTCTGTTCTGTTGAATTTGTCCAGGATTCTGAAAGACCTATCTCATACGGGTCTCATTTCCTGATTCTGGTTCTGAATCTTTGGTTCGATATGCAGGATTTGCTTGTTCTCGCGACCCAAACCGCAATTTGGGGGGAAAAAAATAAGTCATCAGAGCTGGCTCCACCTTTCCTTAGATTAACACGGTGTGGCATAGTTCTGTTTATCAAGGAAGGAAAACTTTCCTGAAATGTGTTGAGTGAATCATAATTAAAATGGCCATGGGGGGAATGGGGAGGGATTTACAGCATCTGACAGCTGCAGTCTTGTAAAATATTTCCTAAGGTTAGAATAAGGAAATATCCATCCCGAAGCTGGGTTGTTCGCATTATTAGAGATAACATATGAGCTTCAGCAAACTTCCAAAGGCTGACATGATAATGAAATAATAAGCTGTCACGAGAAGCCTTAAAAATAAAAGTACTAAAGTTTAAGAGAAAACTCATGATGACAATGTTTGCTGTCTGAAGAAAAAAGTACAATGCTGGAAAAAGTCCCAAATGCAGTCTGAATATCTGGCTGACGGTGCAAAAAACTAATAATAATATCTTGCTGACATCACCTGAGGGCAGGATAAGAAGAAATGGATGCAAACTAATCAAGGAGAGAAGCAACCTGGAACTAAGGAGGAATTTCCTGAGAGTGAGAACAATTAACCAGTGGAATAACTTGCCTTCAGAAGTTGTAAATGCTCCAACACTGGAGATTTTTAAGAAGAGATAGGATGACCATTTGTCTGAAATGGTGCAGGGTTTCTTTCCTAAGCAGGGGGTTGGACTAGAAGACCTTCCAGCTCTTCTCTTCTCTTCTCTTCTCTTCTCTTCTCTTCTCTTCTCTTCCCTTCCCTTCCCTTCCCTTCCCTTCCATTCCATTCCATTCCCTTCTCTCCTCTCCTCTCCTCTCCTCTCCTCTCCTCTCCTCCTCTCCTCTCCTCTTCCCTCCCCTTCCCTTCCCTTCCCCTCCACTCCACTCCACTCTACTCCACTCACCTTCAACAAGCTGTAAAACTTTCATTGGTCCAAGAGCTGAAATTCCTTGTACTCACTTTCTAGTGGCCAAAAGTGTCATTAGGCTACAAACTAAACTAAAGTTTGTGAAATTAATCCAGTTTATTCTTTTGGCTCCTCCGCCTCATAAACCCTTCGCACGTACATACAACTCTACCACACACACAAAATGCACATATAATATTTCACGTAACAACATGAGATGCATGCACCCAACAGACTTTTTAAAAGCCCCAAATAATCTCAGCTGCAGTTGTTTTTTTTAAAAAAAATCTTACTTGAAGACAGCACATACAAATAATTAACCCCGTCCCTATTGAATTTCTACAACCCTCAAATGGCTTGCCCAAGCTGCAATTGAATTTGAAATAAAATTTCCATCTGCTGGGATGACTTGGGGAAGACAAAATTTGACCCATTTTGTAGGTTCAGCTCATATTGAGAAACTCTATCCACTACCACCCCTCTATGACCTGCAGACTTCCATTCCCAGAATTCCTGAGTCAGCAGGCTCATTCAAGAATTCTGGGAGTTGAAGTCTGCAGGTTGTGAAGGGGCCATATTTGTTCACTCCTGATGTAACAATTCAACTCTTGTTCATTCATACTCTTCAAATCTTCAGAAATGCTCACTGAAGCATCTTTTTGGGAAAATACAATGAGATAACAAAGAATTTCTTCCATGGTTTTTTTCCCCCCCTGTTCTTAAGCAGCCTCTTATTGAAATCCTATCTAAGAACCTAAAAAAGTAACACAGAATGGCTGATAATGCCAAATTCAACACTATCAACAATAATTAGCATAATTAAATATTTCGGTATTCATCCATGCCCACTCCAGAATGGCCTGAACGACGTTCTCTAGTTGATGCGTAACTAGATCTATGCGATGTTTAAACATCATTACACCGAGTATCAACATACAAAGGTTGCTTTCAAAGAAATTGGCCTACCTAGCAGTGAAACTATTTTTACAAAGCGACTCAGCACTGGCTTGAAAAAATATACTTTCTGCTGAGCAAGAAATCTTGGAAATGATTGTTTAACACAGCAATTTGCTGGAAGGAATTACAATCAATTATATGTGACGCATAAGGCCAACTCAAGACTATTGTACAAATGCCGCATGCTTCAAATTTAAGGAGAACTAAGTGTGATTTAAATCACTGCAAAGTCAGTGTGTTCTAGATGTGAACATGGAGGTTGGCAACAGGGCCTTGTCAGATACACATGTGCATGCCAGGACTCAACAGACGGACATAAACCTACTTCTTCTACTGGGAGAGAAAGTGAAGTTTCATCAAAGATATAGCAATTTCCTCTCTCTTCCCTGAAAAGATGACACAAACATGTAAGCAAACTCTTTCCTTGTGGTAATCATTATTTTTTGTTATCCATCAGGAAGAAATACCCACTGCTAGTAATTCTATGTAGTTGCATACACATAAAAGAAAATATTTGTAGCTCAGGCTTCAGGTGAGAAGTCATTGATACTCTATGAACTTGGCTGTTTTCCTGCAGGCATTACATTATCCAACTAGGTAACATCATCAGTGCAAGACCGTAGCGATCAGTGCTAGGCGGTGCTAGCTCTGATGATGTTACCTAGTTTCGTGTCTAGGCAGATTCTCAATCATCCAGACCATGGTTGTCCCAAAAGTGCTTTTTCAAAAGGCAACTGGACTTTCTTTGCTTTTCCTTGGAGATGTTTCGCTTCTCATCCAAGAAGCTTCTTCAGTTCTGAACAAATTGAAAAAGCTTCTTGGATGAGGAGTGCAACACCTTCAAGGAAAAAAGAAGAAAGTCCAATTGCCTTTGGATAATAGTAATAGCACTTAGATTCATATACTGCTTCACAGGGCTTTACAGCCCTAAGTGGTTTACAGAGTCAGCCTATTGCCCCCACCAACAATCGGGGTCCTCATTTTACCCACCTCGGAAGGATGGAAGGCTGAGTCAACCTTCAGCCTGGTGAGATTCAATCTGCCAAATTGTAGGCAGCCGGCAGTCAGCAGAATTCGCCTGCAATACTGCACTCTAACCACTGCAGCACTGTGGGCTTACCTAGGTTGAGTAATGAAACATCTGCAAGGAAACAACCAAGCTCAGAGCGCACCAAGGACACCTCATCTCTCTCTCTCTCTCTCTCTCTCTTTCTCTTTCTCTTTCTCTCTCTCTCTCTCAATGTATGTATGTATGTAAATAAAAGCAAAAGACCACTCATGCATCATCACAAAATCTCCAGAACTGTAAAGCCAACAAACTTGAAATTTGGCACCAATGTTCCTCTCGGCTTCTAGGTGCTCACTAAGAAAGGATTTTTGAAATGACCATCAGAGCATTAGTATTTCCTATATTATTATTATTATTAACATGCTCTGATGCTAAGGAGTTCTACTCCCCTTCCCACCTGAAAAGAAATCTCTTCCAAATGCAAAACACAAGCAGAGGAGAGGAGTTTCAGTTTCACAGCAGCAAACAGCTTCAGTAGAGAACAGTAGAGCTAAGCCACGCCCAGGCGCCTTGCTGTCTCCTTCTTGCCCACACAGCAAACATTGCTTCACTTTCCAAACAGCCCTCAACT